AAAAAAAACCTTGTCAGGAGTAAATAAGCACAGTATCAAATTCATGGCCAGTCAACTACCAGTCATAACCATCCACATGAATACTTGCATAATGATTTAATCAATTCTATTCACTGGGATCAGAAACAAGAACAAGATAATATCTAACAAATATGCATGAAATACATCATCAAATATCTAAACACCACACATTGGTTATCTAAACCACGGTGATGTTTCCTAGAGTGTGAAAACGCTGTAATGCGAAGCTGAAACAGGAGATTTTTGCCACAGGCAGTGACACACTTACGTTCCCAGGATCTCTTTGAAGTCATAGTTCTCCTTCACATCTGTGGTCTTTTTTTTCCATGCATGGCAATCGTCACCCAGTGGCATCTTCTTGTTGTTACGGTCAGATACAATACTGGTGAGAAAGAAGAGGATAAGGAGGAGGTGCTCATTAATACCAACAAACGTTAATAAAACCTTATCCCACCTGCAGTAATTAAAATCCAGCAAATATAGCACTCACTTTTTATTTAATTTTTTTTCTTTTTAAATGACATCACTGGATTCCTTGGCATTGGTACAAAAAACATCCAAGTACTCGTAAAACAAGGCAGGTTTATTTGAGGCATCTTTCACAAACAGAGACAACTGAAAGTACTTTAGACTTAACCATGTGTAATAAATGCAAGCAGAGCAGTTGTATTGTGACTATTTTTATGTTTGTGGCTCAGCTAGGGTTTGCATCAGCCTTGTGAATGTAAATTTGAGCTGGAGCAGCAACTACATTTACCAGAGTTTATAAAAGTGCTAAAATAAATGTTCTGCCCATTCAAATCTCATGATGAAAACAATTATATATATTTAATTTGATTCCATTTCACACTTTCAGGCAAGAAATCATCCCAAACTGTTACGACATCGGCATTTGTAATAAGGTCAATAAGACCGTTGCCCCATTCTGTTTCAGTCAGATTGTGGTAAAAACCTGCTTCCTCCTAAATACTATTTTGACATACAAAAAATATCATGCGTCACTCACAGGTTATTAAATATAGGCTCAAGATGCTTATCAATCATTATACTTTAACACTTGTCACAGGTAAGTGTCTTAACACCATTTAAAGTGGTAACTACAACATTGTGGTTACTTGATCACAACAAACAGTGGAGAGGTTTCTTTTCTTTACTTGGACTCGTAATGAAGTAATGTCCTGCTGTCATGAACAAGTATCTTTATAGTCAACAAGGAAATGGCAGACAGGATAAAAGTCATGGTCAATATCTGATTATTTGAGGTTAATAAGTAAACTACATTTCTGTCACACCACTGACCAGGAGTTCAGTGTCTGAGCTGCATAAAGCAAAGCGTTAAGGGTCCAGATAACATAACTCAGGATCATAAATTCCTAAGAAAAGCAGACAAGCATTTTTCTGTCTTGTTTACAACAATGGTGTAGATGGCTCAAACTTTCAGACGAGCTTCTAAGAACCTAAACAAAGCTCATTCCCTCCAGCAAGGAGCATTTTGTGTACTTACACCAAGGAGGTTATGTTGCCATTGCTGTTGATCTTTATTCAGTTACTATAGGATATCAAACAATATCAGATATTTTGAAAGTACTTTGAAGGAAAAATGATGAGTACATGGTAATAAATGTATCTGATCTCAATACATATATAATGTGGTGAGAAAGTTTTGCTCTCTCTGAGGGCCCTTCTACTTGGTAGATTGATTGGACCTGGGAAGATTTGATTAAAATTTGGTGCAGATTCGAAATAAGGAGCAGAACCAGGAATTTTTCTGTCTTTCTTTTCATGGCAAATAAATAATTCAGAGTCACAGTCATTTTCTTTTATATTTCTACAATAGAAATTAGACAATATTGTGTAGGATTGTTGGGCCTTGGTGGAGGTACCACACTGAGTGCCATTCTATCCACGACATGGCAGTTTATCTGTTTATAACTAACCCTAACCCACAACCCTAACACCTTGTTATAGTTTGTAACTTCACAGAGCTTCTATAATGCTTGAGTTTAAGCAAGGAGCTACAGCTTCATAAGTATGTACAGGAATCAAGAATAAAAAGCTTTGTTAAGGAGCTAAAAACAACCCAATGTTCATTTCTCACATTTTTGTCGCCATTGCTCATGTCTCTCTAGAGAAGTAACATCAGATGTTTGTCGTTAACATGCTCCGAGGAGTGGGAGTGATCACAGAGGACCCTGCTGTCACAGCTATCATCATCTAAACCCAGAAAGTGCCTATAACTCAAGACCTCAGAGACTAAAATAGCCCTGTTCATATCAGCATGCCTCACTCCTCCTCTGTTCCTGCTGCCTGCCTGGCAACTTCACAGCCTGTCTATGAGATGATGTAACACATTATTCTGGATGGCACAAGTGCTGTTGTGTTAAAGACAAAATAATAGCACAAGTTAGTTAGTTCACAGTCTGCTCATTTAGACGCTGAGCTGTGTGTATGAGAGGCATCCAGTGATAGACAGGGGTTGGCTCAACACTGCGGCTATCTCCCAGTAAATGTTAATAGGACAAATAGGACATGGCCTCTTGTAGCTGCTTTGAGGCATATACACACACACACACAAACACATTCATACACACAGACACACTCACACACGGTGGCTGCCTTCACTAATGTCAGGAGTCAGGCTTCATAAGTGTCGTCATGGAAACCCAGAGGAGCTGCTATGGTATCTGAGAGTCTAAATTGCTTCAGTGTCTAATGGCAGGTGGCAACAAAGGTCTGTATCATTTTGGTCACTTCGATGGCTGCAGTATTTTATGTTTGGTTAGGAAAAATTGTCACAAAAGGATTTTAAGATTGGATTATAAAAAACATTACACACAAGACGAGGTGAAAAAAATCACATTCTGATAAATATTACATGAGCAATTCATTATCTACACTTCCAGATGACCATAGAGGCAGTACTATCTGATTTTAAATTGATTATTTGATTGTTTTTGTCCATTTTGGTGGAAATTTGGCTTTGGCTTATCCCAAATTACAGTAAAATATACATATGACCACACACTAGTAAACATATATAACAAATAAAATACACAATTGTGTAACAACAGGTAGTAGCAAACGTGTTAACAAATCATACCAATAACAATAGTTCCCTGATGCCGTCATTCAGTTTGCAAATGTGGTTATATTGTGTTGACGTGATGTAGAGTGAAAATAATTCCAGGAGACATACATGAGGGGGTCTACAGAATATTTTCTATCTTTTAGGGGGCGAAAAATGGAAAATAAAATGAGAAAAATCTCTAGTATAGGGAATAAAAGACCTCTGGTATATATTATGTCTGTCCTCTTTGGCCGTGAATTGATGGTAAAAGGAGCAGGTCAGACTGTAAATGTATGGGTGTGAAGTATGTGTAGATATGTGTTCAACATTCTTCTGTACAGCACCTTCAAATATACTGCAGCATTCTTTTGGTGACTTGCTATCACCTTGCCTGTGATGTTAACAATTTTGGAGATTTGTTTTAGCTCTTAACACTCAAGCTGTTGTGTTGAAAGAGAAGACGCTTTCAACAAGGCTGTTGTGAGCTATTGTGCAATAGGCTGAACAACAACTTTTTGTGCATCTGATTTAAACATACTGAACAGTGGAACCAAAAAGCACCAGTAACAATGCTAGGAGACAGTTCACATATAAATGCTTATCTAGTCGAGTACATCATTTCCTCTGCTGTGTTTTGCCGTTTAAAGCATCTGAGGTACAAGGAAGTAGTTCTCTGTGCTGAAGGGAAGCAGAAAGAGGAAGTCTATTCAAATGAGGGAAAGGCCTTTGCTGGTAAATCTACTGTCCGGTGGCCTCTGCTCCTCCTGGAGTCTGATAACTACTGCTGGGGGACAAACAAACAATACATAGTCGACTGTAACTCTATTCCTCAGTACATCTTCAACTTGACACCAGTCTCTCTCTGTGGGAATTGAGGATCAATTACAGGGCATGATTTTTTCCCCCCTCTAATGTTTTCACTGAAAATGATCTGGAAAAAACAGGTTCTGCGTAAAGAAAAGGAGGATTGTTAAGTGTTCAAGCATGTTGGGATTCTTGTCTCTCTTGTGAGGTGACATTAACCAACTGATGAGATTACAGATTACAGAAATGTGTCATACATTTATTCAAACTATCACTGATCAATCACTAAGTTACCAAAAATTACAATCATATGGTGCTTTTATATTGCTTGGTGTTAGGGTGTGGTGTGGGTCAGGTGCAAACTCATTCAATTTTGGGATGGATCTGATTTCAGGGGGCAGATCCAGGATTTTTTTTCACTTTCTTTGACATTGTGAGATGGGATGTTTTTTTAACATTCTACTTGATTTCTCAGAGAATCAGAAATGGATCTTGATGAAAGAAATCAGAAATGTTTAGGGGAAGTGAATAAAAATGTGGTTTCAAGATGAATGTTAGAGCTTGTTTGTTTGATAATTCGAAGGATTACGCAAAAACTACAGGACTCACTAAAAGGGGACTTGCTGGATGAAAAGAACCCTTTCGATTTTGAAGCAGATTCAGATCAGGTGACAAATTTGTGAATTTTTTCACTTTTTTAGCACTGCAAGACTTTGGGATCCACAGATTATGGATCTTGATGAAAATAATCAGGCATATTTAAGGGACTGATGTTTATGAAGTTGTATAAGTGATTTTGCCATTATAAGGCAAATTAGGAACTGATACACTTAACAGATTTATCAACAAGGATAAATTAAGCTTATTTCCACTATTTAACATGAATTATTTCAGCAGGATGTTACAGTTCTTGTGTTTAAAGAGAAGCAACCTTGAGGCGTGACACAATAGCAAAAGTTTTGAGGAAACTGAGGCTGGAGTAAACACCTCTGACATACTGCTTGTTTGTAGCATCTCACCTTGCTCGTATGGAGATTCATGGAGATTCATGTCAATTCATGCACTGAGAACAGGTGATCACGATCATCAACATAATTCAAAATGCACGAACGCATCAACCTCTGCTTGTTCATCTAAGAAAACTGCAGGTAACTGCTGTACCAACATGTTCTACTCTGTCGTAACAATTCAGTGCATGGTGCAAAACATCTGGATGGGGTTTACAAAGTGCAACTTCTTTTCACATTTGAAACAACACAATTCCACGTACTGGAGCTTTAAGGACGTTGGCAAAGTCAAGCAAGGAAATCTGTTTTTCTCAAACCAGCAAATGCTATAAACAACAGTATAGGGTTGAAGTTTAAAACACGCAGGAGCAGATAGGGGTCGAGTTTTGAAAATGTGAGAAAGTATAGAGAGGGGCACATGCAGGTATCGGATGAGCATGTAGGAGGCCAAAAAATAAAAAATAAAAACTGCCCCTCCATGTCCACACATGACATGACTTTTGGCCAGTAGGTAAAGACAAGCTGCTAAAATTCAAGAAGCAACAGGACTGATAAGGTTGGATATCGGGGGAGAGGGGGAGAGGGGGATGCACGATACCATGAACCACATTCCCGGTACTATGAGACATGCAGCATTCACCCTTGTTTAAGGTAAATACACAGACACAGTCACTGTACTCACTGGTTTCCCATCCCTGTGATGTGCAGTGGACAGAAGAAACACACACACATACAAACACACCACCACAGTTAAATGTGACAAAATGGCGCGTAGCTAAGTGTCATATTTTGTGCAATGGTGTTAAAAACATTCGGCAACAGGAAACTCACAGAGACAAACAGACAGGCTTCTGCTGTAAAAAAAAATGTCATTAGAGTTGAAGTAAACCAGGATGAAATGTGCAACAAAGTCCACATCTTTAACACAACAAATAAAAGTGATTCATCAAACAGTTGAACAGACAAAGACCACAGGGCTGTGATGCGTTTTTAAAAGCACGTACACACGCAATGCAGTGCTGAGGCCATTTGTGAGTCACAGTTTACTTACATATTAAATCAACATGGGCAATTCTAAGAATGAGAAACGATCCAACTAATCTGCATCAATGTTTCCTGAACTGATCCCATGATGGTGCCTGTGTGCACCCGGCGACTGAGAGAGAGATTTACTAACAAGCAGTCTGATTGGGCCGTGGCTGCCATTGACGCACGGCAAATCTCTTCTCAAAGTGAGCTTATAAATTGATCAGCAGAGTGATCCTCACAAGATCCCATATAGTGTGTGAGTGTGTGTGTGTGTGTGTGTGTGTGTGTGTGTGTGTGTGAGTGAGTGAGTGTGTGTGTGTGTGTGAAAGAGAGAGAGAGAGAGAGAGAGAGAGAGAGAGAGAGAGAGAGAGAGAGAGAGATTTGAGAGGGAAGTGGAAAGAGCAAGAGAAATAGGGAAGAGTAAATGAGAAACTAAAAATACTCAAGGCACTTGCGCTGGAGGAAAGCAGTGGAAAATTACATCATTTCAAGTTGATTGAGAAAACCATCACACCATGTCTGTTCTCCTTTAAATCTCTCTTAAATACACATTTTTACAGGTGTGCTTGAGGTGAGAATTCACTTTACCTGTATCTACATTTAATCTGGCTCTGATCTTTGTGACTGTTTTAATCATTTTTATGTTTTACTTCAATGAATCTCTTTCTCAAGTGGAACGTTTGTATTCTTATGTTGGTGCTCCAATGTTGTCCAGACTGAGCTGCCCCACTGGAGAAAAGCAAAAAATGTTTTATTATTGCAAAGAAGTCCAGTAGTTAAAATGCCCCCTGTCAGGTGACAATGTTCTTCACGGCTCTGTATACGTTGGGACTTGGAGTCTGTTGAGGCTCTGTTGTGTGAGATGTGAATTGTGAGTCTTTTGTGCAGTCATTGTGAATCCCTGTAAATAGACATGCGTTGACAAAAACAATTTCAGCTTGTTACAGTTTGCATCATTCTGTGCAGTAATAATGGGGGGTTGGGGGGTTGGGGGGTTGGGGTCAGGTTAAGATCAGTGTTCCTGCGGCTTCACTCTCTCTCAGCTGCTTCCTGTGTGAAATACAGTGCAGCTGCACAACACGACAAACTTTACAGCGACATTCAGTTTGAAAGTGACTGAGAGCTTTCTCCGCGTAACTCGAAACGAAGCGTCCTCGTGTGACGCGCCTGTCACTGATGAATGTCGCTTAAAAACACGAGCTGTCACACCACGAAAACCACCGAACATGCCCGAGTGTGTCTGGACACCTACCTGAAGAGTAGCAGTGCTGTCGGTGAGCTGCAGAGTCTGGTGTCGCTCCGTGTGAGTGTCCGTGTGAGTGTCTGTGTGAGAGTGCGTGTGCGTGTGTGTGAGTGTGTGTGCAGCTCCTCTCCTCTCACTGAATCTCCTCTGCAGCCTCACCACCAGCAGCCTCTCCTCCTGACGTCACCGCAGCGCAGGGCCAATCGGCGCCCGAGCTGTAGCGCCCAGGTAAACGGTTCTGCCACGCCATTGGTCGCCGCCCCCTCCCGCGTGACTCTCCGCATGTTGTACTTGCGGATTGATGCTCCGGACAGAACTCCTGTGGACTGTGGTTCTGATAACAGTTTATAATGGCTGCAGATCGGTACAGTTATATGACCTTGTTTTTCTGTTGAAGTGACAGATTTCTATTGCTTCTATAAAAAACTTCAAACTAATTTAAGTCCTAATTTTAACACCACTATAACAGGTCCTACTTTGACACTTTGAAGGGATAGTTCGCCCAAAAATGAAAATGAACTCATAATCCATTCTTCAAACATAAAAAAATACAGAAAACAAAAATTAAATGCCATAAAATGGTCACCATTTACTTCAATTGTATTGGATTTGGCTGCAACACTGTTTATCCCTGAAACTCTAAAAGTGTTTTTGGACTCACCCACCCATCCATCGGCATAGAGGTGAGTAGATATTGAGTGAATTTTCATTATTGGGAGAACTATCCCTTTAAGAAAGACTTTAAGGCAGGGGTCTCAAACTCAATTTACCTGGGGGCCGCTGGAGGTGGAGTCTGGGTGAGGGTGGGCCGCATCAAGTACTCCACAAAAAAAGGGTTTCAGGTATTCCAAAACATACAACTTATCTTTTCAATCTTTATGATGAACAACGGAATCACGTTTCAATCAAGTGACTAATGCTGCTAATTCACTTTGGCTAACTTGACAACAAACGCCACCGGAAGCTGTCAGGGCAAGCACGGCCCACACAACGACAAAAAGGTGCGTTTGAGAAAAGCGCGCGGGCCGCACTAACACTAAACTTTAATGTCAAGTAGGGGGCCACAAAATATCGTGCAGCGGGCCGCAATTGGCCACGAGTTTGAGACCCTTGCTTTAAGGCCTATGTTCATTCATTATAGGTTTGAACCTTTTCTGTCTGTCTTCTTTACCTTGGTTTTATACAATGATTTGAACTGAAATGCCATTTATGTACTTGTTTTGTTCTCTTTGCTTGCCCATACTCCATGTTCTGTTAGATCTGTGTTGGTCATCATTGGCGTGTGTCTATTGTGCATATTTAAAGCGCACTGTGTGTATATCGTATTCAGCAGAGTAAAACCAGTATAATCACCGCCCACAAGGCTCAAATTACAACCAATACAACTTCTCCATGTTCATTCATCTTAAAGATGAGAGCTTTTCAGCGATTAGTTACACTAGTTCGTTTGTGAGGCGTCAGCTTGTGGTGGTTTAGTGCGCCACCTACTGGATAATGTGACACCTAACACATTTCAATTGTCAATCAGTTTAGTATAACCACTAGACTGAGTACTTACTTAAATTATTAAATTATTGAGCATTATAAAGTTGCAGGTAAGAAAATATATATTTCCTTTTTGTCACTTTTACATCTGTAAATAAAAATGTAGTGCATTTCTAAATAGTTCAGTTGCGTTTCCAGAAAGTGATAAACCCAGCCTACATGTGTTTGTAAATTTGACTGGCTTAATTTCAACTTGAGGCTTTAGTCAATAAAGTGAAATTTATCGTCATTCAGACCAAACAACAAGAAGTGCACAGCAGAACGAAACTGTCTTTCTCCCAGCTCCATGTGCAAATATAAAAAGGCAAATCGTTTATAAATAAAATATACATAATAGACAAACTAAGCCATATAAAATCCAGTTCTGCGAGTCTAACCTGGAGCTTGATTATCAATCCAGAAGAAAAGTTATTGTCTTTAATGTATCTCAGTTGTGATAAAGCTGCTGCAGTGTGTGGGTGTGGACGCTGGGTGGTGCTGTGCTGTAAACGCTGCAGTGTTTTGGTCCAGACGGACCCTCTCGTCATTATCGTCGGCAGCAAGCTGACAGTTGCCTAGTGACGAAAAACTCCAGACGGCTGCTGGCTTCCTGCGTTTTCAAAAATCTCTTCGCCTCCACTCAGCTTGCGCCGAGTTTTCCAAACACACCTACCTGTTTATTTCGTACTCACAGCTGGACTATGGTGCGGAATGACACGTAGATCTCACCCGGAGGGTCGTGCTGCGTGTTTAGCGTCTCGGGCCGCGTTATGAAGAGTTTTTGATGAATGATGAATAATTATATCTTCATCAGGGTCGTCGGGAAGGGCAGCTATGGAGAGGTGAACCTGGTGAAACACAAGTCCGACCGAAAACAGGTGAGAGGCGACACGAGCGGACGGAGCTCAACCACAGAAAATAGATCGTACAGTGTTAATCACGAAGGTTTGTGTAGTCCTCCACATGTTACACTGTACCCGACGCTACAAACTGCTAGCCTAAAGTTAGCCAAACTAAAACCTCACAGATTTGTTTACTCCGTTTGACATAATCATGTTTAGACATGATGTAACACAATCACAGTTAGTTAAGTCAATATATGGTCACACTACTACTACTACTACTACTACTACTACTACAACTTACAATATATTCTATGTATTTTGCGCTTTTAACAAGGCTCCTAGACTGTAGCACACAAAAGCTAATGAGCTAGGAACTGAGGTATAAAATGCAGATTATAAGCATACATGGAAATATGAAAAACACATTATAATCACACTGAAATATATAAAACACGTAATTACACATTAAAATATAAAATACACATAATCACACAATAACAGCACTTCTTGATGGGTGGGTTTTCAGTATTTTTCGTTAATTGCAGGGCAGCAACTCTTTGACAGTTGACAAAAGCTGCTTCTTGTCTGCAGTGTTCCTAAAAAAGTTCTTAAAGGGTTTGAGGAACAATGTTCTTTAACCCAGTGACCCTGAGACTGTAGCTGCAACGCTATTAATACTGATCGGTACAATGACTGATGTTATGTCTTTAATAAATCCCTAAGACACAACAATGTCAGTGTCTCATGGCTTTAGAAATGTGCTCATTCATGTGTGTACAACTGACACTGACAGGATTTTCAAATGCCTGATCACCAACGGTCTTCACTAAACTAATATAATGAGTTCAGTTCGTTGCCATCTGGTTGCAGATGCTTGTCCATCTTTCTTGTGCTTTGGTTTTGATTTTGATAATTTATTTTTTTCATGTTAATACAGACTGTAAGTTACAGTAAATATGTCCCTTCCTTCTGTTTCAGTATGTTATTAAGAAGCTGAATTTAACCACCTCCTCTAAGCGGGAGCGGCGCTCTGCAGAACAAGAGGCGCAGCTTCTGTCCCAGCTGCGACATCCAAACATTGTGACCTACAGGGAGTCGTGGGAAGGAGATGACTGCCAGCTCTACATTGTGATGGGTTTCTGTGAAGGTGGTGACCTCTATCACAGACTTAAACAGCAAAAGGGGGAACTCCTACCCGAGAAGCAGGTGGTGGAGTGGTTTGTCCAGATAGCAATGGCACTCCAGGTACAGTATATTAGAAAGTGAGGTCCATGTCAAGTTTATATACACCAGTACAACATGTTTAAAGTCACTTTGCTTTTCAGTACCTGCATGAGAGGAACATTCTCCACAGAGACCTCAAAACACAGAATATCTTCTTGACAAAAACCAACATCATCAAAGTTGGGGACCTTGGCATTGCACGAGTATTGGAGAACCAGAATGACATGGCCAGCACGCTCATAGGGACGCCATACTACATGAGTCCTGAGCTCTTCTCCAACAAACCCTATAACCACAAGGTACTTTTATTACCTGCTCTTAATGTGTATACTTTATTTCTCAATAAGAACTGCTTCATACTGGATGTATTTTTTTCTCTAGTCAGATGTATGGGCCCTGGGTTGCTGTGTGTATGAAATGTCCACACTTAAGCATGCCTTCAATGCCAAGGACATGAACTCCCTGGTTTATCGCATAGTAGAAGGAAAGGTGGGTTTCTTCTTTTTAGTTTTTTATATAAAGTATGCAATCCAGGTCAAGTATGATCTGTGCTAATTTACACAATACATTTTATTTTTCAACAAATGTGCTTTTCCATAAAACAGATATCAATCTTTTTGAACAGTTCGTTGATCATTTTGTAAGCATATCAGTGACGTTGTTAAGCTCTAAGCAAAGACTTTGGTTGAATAAAATAATAATGTTCCTTCCCCAAGTAATTGATGGATTTTCATGCTTAATTTTTGCCTTTTGAAGATAGAGTGTTGTGTTTTTGAACCCTCATTATCTAGAAATATTACAGAAAAGTAGATTGACAATAATACATAACAATTTCCCTCTGGTTTTCTCATCAGCTACCACAGATGCCCAGTAGATATGATCCCCAGCTGGGAGATTTGATCAAGAGCATGCTGTGTAAGAGACCTGAAGAGCGGCCTGATGTCAAACTTATCCTCCGCCAGCCCTACATCAAAAGACAAATTGCCATGTTCCTTGAGGCCACAAAACAGTAGGTGATTTCTATAAAGTTAAACATTTTGAGCCAAAACGTTACTCAACTTAACCGTCACTTTCTTTGGGATCGTGGTCCATTCATATTTATCTCTATCTATTTTATTTCTTTCCACACCAGGAAAACTGCCAAGTCAAAAAAGAAAGCTGTCAGCAGCACTGATGATTGTAGAAACAATGAATGTTCTGTGGTATCATCTCAGCCAAAATCTGAGAGGCAGCCTCGGAGTCCTCAGTCGGAACCTCTTGTCAAGGTGAAACGGGTGCGTGATTCAACAATAGCAAGCCTGAGCTCTTTAATTTGAACTTCTTAAATGTCACTAATGTTATTTTAAAATGTGTCTTTTCTTAGTCATTAAAAATTGTATATTTTTATTCACTCACTGAAATATATTATGTTCTTTTTTCTTTGTTATGTATGAATGAATATTGGGCCAATAGCAATATACAGTATAAGTACGGTATACTTATTCCGTATATTGTAGTAAAATGTCAGAAACAGCCTTGTGGATTGCATTGATCAGTAAATAGCTGATGTTGTTTACTTCAAGCCAAGCAGGGAATCATCAGTGTTCATTATGGTCTCTGTTTTTACTCTGCATCCACAGAGAGAAGAGAAATCACAACAGCATAAAGTTTATAATGGTGTCACTGACTCTACTCCAGTCCAAACAATTCCACCACCCAAACCTCCTTCACCTGATGCATCTCTGGCAACTATCAGCAACATCAATATTGATTTCCAAGGGCAGGAGAATGAGGACCAGTCGAAGAGACAGCTGCACATGCCCCAGTCGGCAGGGTCGCCTCACCGGGCAGGTAATGAACATGTGACTCGCAGCGTGCACAAAGACAGCAAGAGAAGAGTGAAACCAGATCCATCTCCCCCTGTCTCTCCCTCCAAGCTCCCTCTGAAGTCTATATCAGGTGTTGTCAGCAGAGCAGGGGACGAGAGACAGGCACCCAATGGATTGTTAGACATTCAGCCACGGGCCACGCCAAAGCCCGGGGATACATTTTCTGTTTTTGGGGAGAAGCAGATGTCAGATGTGGGTGGTAAGGATGATACCATGGAGTTACTTCAAGAGGCTCACATGCAGAGGCCAAAGCTAGAAGTCGAGATAGAGGCTGCTCCTTCTATCATTGAGAGCAGATCTGCACACAGATCTAAAACAGAAACTGTCGGAGTGGTTGTGGAAGTGACTATGGACAATAAAGGTGACACCATTAATCTTCTCAAGGGAGCTCCGACACAACACCTACATACCTCAGACACCCAGGTAAGTGCTGATAACAACTGAGCCATATTTTTCCGATCTTGAGTCTTAATTTCTTTATTTTTGTTTCATGTAGGAAAACTTAGAAACTACTGAAAAGCTGTTAGAGCCGTTCACTCCGACACTGGTAAGAATTAAAATGACTGTCTTGCTGACCGTGTAAAAATGCAACAACAAAGTGCAAGAAGTTATTGTGTTTTATGGTGAGATTATTTCTACATTGGAAAAAAAGATGATTTGTTTTTATTTAGGAACCTAAGATTGAACAAAGTCCCTTACCAGTCAGTAAGCCAGGTCCGATCACTTCATGTCAAACTCCCCCGCCCTCAGTACCACAGCAGCTCAGAGCGAAGGACACAAGAGGGACACATGGAGACCAGGACAAGGTAAAGATCAGTACAGGAGATAATATTAGGTGGCTGAAATTATTATTTTTACATATTATTGTGATCATTTAACAACACGAACTAGAAAACATCTTTTATTTTCCTGTTATATTTGTGTAGATTAATTCAGTAGTTAATTTGTAATCTTCCTCCAAGGTGGCTGCTCCTAGACCTTTACCTCCACCTCCTGTTGAGTGCAGAGCTGTGGAGGGGAGGAAGAGGAGCAAGAGGAGCGCAGAGAGCAAGACACCTGACGTGGCTGCGACGTCCACACCAGTGAGTTTCTGTAAGAAGGGATTGTTACCACTTCCACAGGTGAGAGTAGTGCTCCTCCCCTTACAAATAAATACTGCTTAAAAATGTACACTCAAATTAGGAAGCCTCATCAACTTTCCTGAAATCTTAAACAACGAAATAGCTCTCTGCAGTTTTCTCCTGGAAGCTAAAAAGAGCAAGAGCACCAGCACAGACTCTGAGGCGTCATTGAGAGCATCCTGACCAGCTGCATCACTGTGTGGTTTGGGGGCTGCACTGCCTCGAAACGTAAAACCTGCAGCACATGGCTGGGAATGTCACTGCTACCTCATTCTCCTCCCACTTGGACATTTACTACACCTGCCTATCTCGCAAAACAACCAGCATTGGTTGACTCCACCCCTCCCTGTTACTCCCTCTACCTATAACTGTAACTCACCCATTCAACCCGCCACAGGATTTGTTTTTATGCAGACATATACATACACACACATTCTTACACTCAAGCTCCAGCCACTTTATTCTTTATAAAGATAAATCCTGTTATTAAAATAATACAAAAACTGCTGCTAATCACTTGTCCTGTGCATTACAGATTGCTTACACATTGTTTCATCACTATTTGTATTGTGTCTATTATCTGTATTATTATGATCTGTGCTTTGTTATTGTTTCTCTATGTTTTTTTAACCCCTTTTTTTTTTAACCTCTCTTACCTTTTTTTCGAATCCGGTTTTGTTTTGTATATGTCTGCACTTGGGTCAGGGAGAAGCAGCATTTTAATCCTCTGTCTTGTACATTAGACAGACTCAAGTTTACCTTTAGAATTTATTCTTATCCAATTAAAATATTGTATCATCACTAGAAACCCCCCTAAAGTGATTACCTCCCTGAAGTCAACAGATGCAGTTTATAAGTCGAATAACATGAACTGGATTTTATTTCAGGAACGTCCTTTGTCTGCCAGAGAGAGAAGGAGACTGAGACAGTCCCAAGAATGTTCCATTCAACCAGGTACTAACTGTCTTTTCCTAACTGATGCCAGAACCTAATAGTAAACCTATAGCATAAACTAAGTTACAGGAGGCTTAAATAAAGCAATGAATAAAAATGTACTTGCTTACAAACACTATGTCTCAGCTCTATAAAAACCGAGAGAGACGTTATTACATTTTTTTCCTTGGTTACTTGAATGCTTGTTCCCAGGTGTTGATCCTGTAAGAAGAGCTTCTTATGATGTCACTTCCACTAAGGCTGAGCGCTACAATGCCCCAGTCACCAGTAGATCTGTGTCAGACACTATGGCTGGGACCATCAATAAGGTACTGACACCACCAGCTCTGTCACATTTAACTGTGCTTCATACAGTCATGAAGCAAAACTGTAATTTCTGAATGTTTACCAATATGAATGCACCTCATGAGGCTGATCTGTTACTATGTTATTGTGCACTTAATCATGAGTGTGTCGTCCATGCTTCATTACAGCAAGATATGCTGCAGGAGCAAAGGTCAGATGATGATGAATGCAGCTCATCCACAAGTTCCACAGAGCGTTCAGAGGGAGACTGCAGGGAGAGGTGAGTCAATAACATCAATTACAACTCACCTCAACTCAAATAAAATCACCTGATGTGTAATCCATGATGTATGGATCATCTACAGGAAGACTGAGTCCAGTGACATGCAGGATTTAGTCCATATGATGACACAAACATTGAGAATGGATGTCGGAGATGTGAGCGAGGTGGACAAAAGACGACTTGGTTCTACTGCACTGCCAGAATTTAAACTGAACAGGAGGTATCGGGACACCCTGATGCTTCATGGGAAGGCTCGAGAGGAAGCAGAGAACTTGTCAGTTGGTGAAATACGAATGGGTAAGATACTTTGATCAAACTCATTTGTCATCAGTCGGTCTGTAAGCCACTAACTTTCTTGTCTTTTCAGAGGGCTCCCCATCTGGTCCAGCCAAGATAAGGAGAGCCATAGAACACCTGAGGACAGATGTGGTGAAGGGCCTGGGGGTCAAGCTGCTGGACAAAGTGCTGGAAATCATGGAGGAGGAGGATGACGCCAAACGAGAAGTAAAAACACTTCATACCAGATTATGTACATTGTGACCCTACTATAGCTTGAAATATTTAGCACTATTATTAAATGGTCAGGATGAGTTACTATTAATAGGAGCTGGGGCCGTGTGTTTGTTGGTTTGTTAATTGCACGCTCAGATACTAATTGGATATCATGATTCCCCTTAATTAAATAACATTAGATCAAGTACATTAGCGTCTGTAAGTTAATTAGGTTAGACTGACTTCTTAGGTCATAATGATAAATTAAGATCAACTTGAATATTTCTTTCCAATCACAGACTTACTTGACCATGCAGTGTAATACATTTTTTCTGTGAACAGCTAAACTGTTTACCTAAAACTCTTAATTACTTCACACCATTTGTTTCCCAAGTAACGTCAGTTGGTTTTCCTTCCTTTATTTTTTCTGCAGCTTTGCCTTCGTGACCAGATGGGGAATGAGAAATACCAAACTTATGCTGTGATGGTGAGGCAGCTGAAATTCTTTGAGGATATTGCCTTCAAGGTTTAAAGAATATGGGAGTACAGAAGCTACGGGAGCAGAGCCGTTTGCATTTTGATCATTCTTACATAGATCAACAATATTCTCAAAGATGAATAAATTTTCTACAAAAAGACCACCTTGGTTGTGTGGCATAAAGCCACCTTCCTCCTTCTGCTTGCATCTAACATGATAGCAGGTTTAATCATGAGCCTGCAACCTTACAGCTGACCATTATGCATTTTGTCATATGAAATGACATGTAAAGTTAATTGTATATTTTTTTTAATTCCAGTACAAACATACACTGCATTCTTCAGGATGCCTATGCAAAGATTTTGGTCAAGTTATAACACATTGACTCTCCACTTGTTTATTTGTAATGCAAGACAGAATTTTGATAATAATTGTTTCACCTAAATATAATCTTTGAAGACATCTCACTTCTGCTTCTCTATTGTATTTTCTTACACACAAAATATTGTAATGTAGATGTATTGTAGATATTAATGCTTAAATAAATTCTCACAAATCTATTTTCTTGTCATCACCAACATTTCTGTGACACAAAATACATTTCTGTGCAAATAACACAGTGAACGACAATATTAAGTTGAATAAAAATCTAAATACCAAACCAATATAGGGCGATCGTCATCACAATATATGTAGTCCTGTATGCACTGATATTACATTTTTTAATAGAATGTAATGAAGGAAAAGATGATTGGTGGAATTTAGGAAAAGCTGTGAAGGAACATCATTGGTTTCCCTCTTTCAATATTACATATGTACTGGGTCAAGGAAGTGTACTCTCAAAATGACCTGGTTTTCAGTGTTAATTGAAGTACAGATAAACTGATTAAGCTAATAGAAGATGAACGTGTATAATATTTCATGTCTTAATTGAACTAACTCATGCAGTGCTGGTGCAAAAGGTTAATGAACCTCAGGTTTTAAAACTGGTTGAACCTCCTTTGGCATCAACAACCTCAAACAAGCTTTGCCAAAAGCTGTGGATCAGATGTGCACAACGATCAAGTGGAAGTTTGGACCATTCTTCAAACAGACCAGCTACAGCTCAGCCATATTCTTATATGGTTAGCCATATTTAATCTGGAGTGAACATCTCTGAGCTCAGTCCATAGCATCTCTTCTGGGTTAAAGTCTGGACTCTGACTGGGCCATTCTTTGTTTCAAATAATTCTGTAGAAGCTTTATGTCAGTGTTTAGGGTCATTGTCCTTCTGCAGAGAAACACTGACATCGTCCTGGGCTTTGTTTTTAACCTCCACTGGACGTGTGTGTTTATATAACTGTGAAAAATGTCAGCCAATATGACTGTCCGATTTATTTTATTTTTTTACTCCTTTAAAGTATCAGCAGAGGTTCTAAAATCCAGTATCAGTAGGATTCTACTAAATACAAATGAAAACACTGCATTTATAAAATATAGACAGCATCAGGTGTTTATTATTAAATTATTTGGACACAAAGATTTCATGACTGACTAATAAACACTGTAACAAAGTTTTCATCCAAATTGCTTCAAATAATATCCATTATAAAAAGATGTATTAACAGCTGGGCACGGACTGTTTTGTGTTACTTGTGCTTCTTCTTCTTGAGGCTTTCCTGAGGTTTCTGGCTGGACTCTCCATTGGTCTCTGGTACAGCTGGCTGCCAGGACAGAGGATTATTTCTGTACATGGGCCACGGAGGCAGGGTCAACTACAGTCAAGGACAGATACAGGAAATAAATGATATAATGTTGCCTGTTTGTCATGACAGAAACATTTTGTCATCTTATCTTTGGCATAAAACACATCAATGTCCTCAAAAATGTCACATTATTCTTTCTTTTAAGTTTAAATACTGATTTCTGCTCGAGTCTGAAGTAGAACAATTGAATGTTATTGTCCTCAAGCATTATATCGATATATACATTTAATCTTTGTTATATTGATAATAATGAAAATCATATTACGATATTATTGCTATTGTCTACAACATATAGCAAAAACTTACCACACAGGACACAGCGAAACCAGCTAAGACAATGTACACTGTCCACCCAAACTGTTCAATGATCAGACCGTACACGAATCCAATCACCTGGGGAGAAGGACCAAATGTTAACTCTATGAAATAAATATATTCTAGCAGCTGGTTAGCATGTGTCATGTTAGTTACCGCTGAGATGAGAATTACTCCTTGGAAAATCTGTTCAGCCAACTTCTGGCCTTTGTAATCCTGCAACACAACAAGTCAGTACATCAAACATGGTGGGGCAGTTTGAGCAAATGATCAGCTGCTGACATTGAATGGGTTTATTTAATTAGCTACACGAACCCCAGTAAAAACCACCTGGGTTATATGCACCCATAATATCGAGGTAGCATTAAAAGCACCGTTATGTTTACCTAAGAACCTCCAGAGTTTCACACTAAACACCACCCATCAGCTAAAAGGTGGGTTTAATACGTGCCTTTGCTGCATTGGAAGACTGCGCTGGCTGGTTCCTGTTTATGAAACATAACTTTATCTAGCAGCTGTTCCCATTGTGCCCACAGCATCCACCAGCTAACGTTAGCTCGACGGAGAAGCATGGATGAAACACGGCTAGCATAACGCAGCTCCGCGTCAAGTGAGCCGCAGAGATCTTACCATGTGTGAGGGGATGGACTTGAATACGGACAACATCTTCACCCTCAGAATGAAGAAGGTAAACGCGACGAGACTTTGGTCCGAGCGACCGCAAAATGATGCACTTCAACTTCCGGTCTGTGGAAAGATACGTCGTGTTGTAAAGGACCCATCCGGGTACTCGCGGAGGCTCTAAGTTGCGTTAGCTGCGCAGGCGCACAGACGTGTAACGCACAGGGATGAGGCTGAAGCGCTGCGCTTTGTTCATCAGTGTGCTAGTTATCAGTGAAAAGCTGTGTCCGCCTCAACAGCCTGGCTGTCGGAATGTTTGGCTGTTATATTTTAAGAATACAATATCACCCCGTATGTCGTGTCATTGAAATACGTTAATCGTTAAATGCGACTTATTATTATTTGTTTAGGCTAAAAACAGCGACTCTATGCGATTTTAAAATCAGGCAATCGCCGGGGCAGCCGTGCCCCGTGCAGCCGTGCTGGAGGATGAACGTGTGGATGTTGAGTTGGCACTTTGGCTTCAGTGTAATTTACTTTTCGCCGCCGTGTTTGTGGTTTTTTCTTTCGACCTGACTCCAGCTGCGCTGCGGACGTTTTGGATTCAAGCGTAGCGAACACGCAGTGAGCGTCAGCTGTGCGCAGAGAGCGTGTGGTTGTGTGCGGCTGCAGCAGCCTGGGTTCACCGCGGTGCTCAGAGGGAACTCATCCCATCAGGCTGCGATCACCAAGCACTGTCAGAGTTTCACCACAGGAGCTGGGGACTCGGATGCGGCTGTCATGACGCTGAGGAGGGGTGAGTCTGGGGATCTGCACCTCTGAGACATGTCTGCAGTGTTGAGACACTGTGGACTAATAACGGTTCTATAAATACTGGAAAACGAATATTAACTTCCAGGAATTAGTTGCTTTCACAGTCCCAGTGTTGTTGAAATTGATAGCTCACACAAAAATGAAAATTGACTCATGATCTATACTCATCATTATGTCGGTGGAGTGGTGAATGAAGTGTTTGAGTCCACCAAAAACACTTTTGAGTTTTCAGCGTTGCAAATCCAGTACAAGGGAAGTTAATGGTGACCACTTCTTCAAACGTATAAAACAACAGAAAGAAAACATAAAATGCCTCCATACTGCTCCTGTGGTGTCATCCAAGAGTCTGCAAGCTCCAACATTCAAATTAGACTCGAAATGAGTCCAGAGGAGGATATCAGAGGACATTCAGGCAAAAACATGGTGTAATGACCTCAAATTTGAATGTCTCTGCGGTTTGTTTTGTTTGAAGAAGTGGTCACCATTTACTTCAATTGCTTTGGATTTGGCTGCAAAGCTGTTTACCCCTGAAAACCCAAGAACTGTTTTGTGGATCCAAACAATTCACCCACTCCTCCATCGGCATAGTGCTGAGTAGATAATGAGTGAGTTTTCCTTTTTGGCTGAACTATCCCTTTAAAATCAACTGTTCATGTGTTTCAGTAAACGTGGTCATCCTGCTGCTGCTGGCTGTGGCCTTCCTGATCATAGTCCAACGAAATCTCCTCAACCTCAGCGACTTTCTACATAAGGAAAACCCAGGTATGTTCATCTCACTACTGTGTGCCAGCTACAAATGGAGCAACGTCTTGATAATAAACTACGTCTGTGGGCCCTTTAGATGCAGGGGCGATTCTTCCCTTCGAGGCCGAGCTGTCTCCGGCCCTTAAGCTGGAGTTGGCGAGGAAAGGAGAGGAGATTCCCGTCCTCATCACTGCAGCTGAGGAGAGACTCGGTGCTGTGGTTGCTGCCATGAACAGTGTCTATCAGAACAGTAAAGCCAATGTTGTCTTCACCATTGTGACCTTGAATGACACAGTGGAACACCTTAAGTAAGACAATGCCATGCATTCATAATCATTCTACTTCCTTGAGGAGGTCAGATTTGATGTTGTCTGACACGCCCAATGTTTTTACCAACAGAGCGTGGCTTAGTGAGACCAAGCTGAAAAACATCAACTACAAGATAGTTGTTTTCAAACCTGAGCTTCTCAGTGGGAAGATATCTAAAGATCCTCAGACACAGGAGGCTGCAAAACTGGGCGGGCAGTTGACGTTTGCCAGGTTTTACCTGCCTGTGTTCATACCTGAGGCAGAGAAAGCCATTTACTTGGATGATGATATCATTGTACAAGGTAAGACTCTGGAAGGAGGAAGAGAATAAACAAGGATATAAAACTAGTGAAGATAACTATTCAGCTTCTTGTTATTCACTATTTTCACTCATTACTCTCAAAATCCTTAATGGTATTACAGGAGCCCAACAGATTGAGCCTCTCACAGACACGTGTTTATGTTTGCAAATATGAAAACTTTTATTTATTTTACAAATCCATATTATTTGGACTCTAATGGAACAACAGAAATATTTTCTGAATCAGAATGAATGATCGTGGATCGTGTCTTTTCTGTGGGATCTCAGGGAACATTCAAGAGCTTTATGACACCAACCTCAAATCAGGACATGCAGCTGCCTTCTCAGACGACTGTGATTCAGCCTCTGCTAAGGGGATTGTGCGAGGGGCTGGAAACCAGGTAGTCACATCTAGCATGAACTGACTAGTTTCAGTTATTTAAAGTTTCTGAATGTGTAGTATTTGTTAAAGAGTATTGTGAAACTTGATTACATAAATAATATTTTTCAACAGAACAACTATATAGGTTTCCTGGACTTCAAGAAGGGGTCAATAAAGAAGCTGGGGATGAGGGCCAATACATGCTCCTTCAACCCGGGGGTCATCCTCGCCAACCTGACTGAGTGGAAGAACCAGAACATCACCCAACGATTGGAGCACTGGATGGAGCTGAACACACAGTAAGCTACTCACAAAATGATTTTGTGTTTTTTCTGTAATTTCACACACATTTAATCCAGTGGACTTGTTAAGATACATTTGTTTGTTTCTGCAGGGAGGATCTGTACAGTGAAACAATGGCAGAGAGCATAATTACTCCTCCTCTCCTCATTGTTTTCTACAAACGTCACTCCAACATTGACCCCATGTGGCATGTCAGGCACCTCGGTGAGTTCTGGTCAAGAGCCAGAAAAACACAGGCAGTAGATCTAATTGATTTTACATGTGGATAACCCTCATCAATCAGTTTCATTAAGAGGACACATAATAAAATGGACAGTATGGCATGAATGTAAATGATCATAATATGGATGAACATATGCTTTGCAGGTAACACAGGCGCTGGGAACCGCTACTCCCCACAGTTTGTAAAGGCTGCCAAACTCCTCCACTGGAATGGACACTATAAGCCCTGGGGCAGAACATCTTCTTTTTCTGATGTGTGGGACAAATGGTTTATTCCAGACCCCACGGGAAAATTTCATCCTGTGCGACGACACGAGGGGGACAGCTAGACTGACAAAACAGGACCAGCCAAGTCCACAGCTCAGACCACGCATTGTGATACCTCAGGAACTACGTAAGGCCTTGTCACTAGTCAACTCTCCGTTTGAATTCTGCCATATCATCCTCTGAACATGTTAACCTGTGTAGCTACTTTTCGCTCATACAAAGCTCCCCTTATTGCTTCCCTTGATATTGCTTTAACTCTCATTTCTCAAAAATATTCTGATTAACGTTTGAAACCTGAGTGTTTTGCTTAAGAGGCATACACTGTTTTCAGTGTTTTACCCTGAGCAACATTAAGGTGTTGCACCTGAACACTGTGATATGAATAGAAATGAGTGCATCACCCCAGCCAGAAGTAATTAATCTGTGACGTCACTTCAACATCACTTTGTACGACTTTGCTCATTTTAATCTCAGCAGGTTTGTTTCCCTGCAGCAGCTGGATGGTGAACTTACTTTATTTAAATACTAAATGCATTTTAATGTTACCTCAGATCTAATCATGCAGAGAAATTTATACCTGCTTAAAAAATGTTCCCTTCAGATTTCAGATAGTCTGAAATGTCATCATACTAATGCCTCACATAGTTAAACTCAGTTCACAACTTCCTGTAGAAAAGTCATGAATTGTATTAAAAGCACATACTATTTATCAGCACCTTGTTTTAACACTTAAAGAGTCATCTGTGCTCATAACAATTAGACAAAAGGGACTTGTCTTCCCTGTAACAGCACATTTCTCTGAATGAGCCACTAAATGAAAGTTGTTAATTTAGTTCAAATACACTACAGTCAGGCTAATGGTGCCCCAGCTATCATCGTTCAGCCTTTCATTCCATTAGTGTGGTTGTTTATGACTTTATATGCAGATGACTAAGCAAACTGCACCTCAGCAGAAATGTAAGAACATAATGTTTACATTCCCATGCTTGATCCTTTGGATTTTTTTTTACATGCTGGAAAGCCTTTACCTTGCTGGTGTAAATACTTTTTTAAAGTGCAAAAATAAAACATACATTTTTAAGCAGTCATGTCTTGTGATTTTCATTCCCAAGCACCTGTAGTACACCAGTGTTTTTCAACACTACGTGTGGGCCAGCTTCCTATAAAAGAATTTG